TTATGTTAATCAGGAAGCATGGCCATAACCTCAAGGCTTCAGCATTTTCCTAAAACAAGAAGCTGTGTAAAAAATAAGAACTGAGGAAGTTTAGAGCCCTGAGTTCGTACTTTATTAGCAAGAGTTGTATCTACAGGCAGTTAGGCAAAATTTTGACCCAGTCACCTACGTGTCTGTCTTTCTACATCCAAGCTTAAAAAGAGAGTTGAACCACTTGTCTATGGCTAATGGGACAACCAGGATGTTTCTGAGACCATCACCACCAAGGACTGTGACTGATATTACTGATAGGGTGTTTTAGTTTTCATATACAGTGAACATGTATCCGAACATATTAGATGAAACTACTTCAATCTCGGCATACATCAGAGTCAAATCACCTTGTCGGTCATTGCCGACTGTGCTAAAGCTAAAAATCAGGTGGTTACAGTCCTCTGTATGTAATGTTCAGATTGGCAAGTCTTTAGATAATAATATTAGAAGGCAGAATGAAATCCTCTGAAACTGCCAGATGTTAGGTATGTGTTCACTTAAACTCACTAAGCTCAGAGAAAAATGCAGATGGAAGACTCAGATGAGCAGAGCAGAAGCACAGAATGATTAAGCCTGGAAGGGATCTCAAGGAAGTCTCTAGTCCAACTCCTGCAGACAAAGCAGGGTCAACTATAGCAAATTGCTCAGGACTCTGGCCAGTTGGGTTTTTATTACCTCCATGGATAGAAACTACATAACCTCTCTAGGCAACCTGCTTCAGTGTTTAAACTCACAGTAAGAAAGCATTTTCTTATGTTTAAGTTGTATTTCATGTATTTCAGTTTCTGTCCATTGCCTCTCATCCTTTCTGGGGGCGCAATGGCGTACGGCTCCATCTTCTTTACCCCATCAGGTATTTATATGTATTGGCCAGATACCTCCTGACCTTTTACTTCTCCGAGCTGAACATTCCCAGCACTCTTAGCTTCTCCTCATGTGTCAGATGCTCCAAACCTTTAATCATCTGTGTGGCCCTTTGCTGGAGTCTCTACCATATGTCTTTCTGATAATAAGAAGCCCAAAACTGGACCCAGCACTCCAGCTATGGTCTCACCAGGGCTGAGCAGAGGGGAAGGATCGCTTCCCTTGACTTGCTGGCAGCGCATCCCAAGGATGCCATTGGCCGCCTTTGCTGCAAGGACACGCTGATGGCTCATGTTCAATTTTGTGTGCACCAAGACCCCCAGGTCCTTTTCTGCACACAACGGTCCATAGCATGCCCTAGTGCTGGGGATTATACCTCCCCAGGTGCCAGACTCTGCATTTCCCTTTTTTTGAACTTCAGGAGGTCTCTCTCAGCCATTTTCCAGCCTGTCAGTGACCCTCCGCTTGGCAGCCCGGGTTTTGTGTATTCTGCGAACCGCTGAGGGCGCACTCTGCCCCATCATCCAGGTCATTAACGGAGATGTCAAACAGTACTGGTCCCTGTACTGACCCCTGCTAGTGACTGGCATCCAGCTAGCATTCATGCTGCTGTTCATAACCCTTTGGGCTTGGTAGTCCAGTTGCTTTTCATTGTACCTCACGGTCTGTTTACCTGGCCCATATTTCAGCAGTTTGCTTGTACGTGTGCTACATGGGAAGGTGTTGAAAGCCTTGCTAAAATTGACATAAACATCATCTGCTCTCCTTTCACCCAGTGAGCCAGTCATCTCGTTGTAGAAGGCTGTTGGGTCAGTCAGGCATAATTTCCCCTTCATATATCCATGCTGATTTCACCTTCTTGTCCTTCAGGATTTGTTCCGTAACCTGCTTGGGGACTGAGGTAAGGACTGGCTTGTAGTTCCCTGGATCTTCCTTCTTGAAGATAGGAGTGACATTTACTTCCTTCCAGTCCTCAGAACCTCCCCCTACTGCCATGACCTTTCAAAGATAAGGTACCCTTAGTGAATTTTAAAAATAGCATTGGTACCATTTAAAATTCTGTATCCTTGCCCTTTTAGAGGTGAAAGGTTGCTGCTTCGTAGCTGTGAATTGCTACTTTTTTATCACTGATGACAGCATGTGAATAGTTATCATGTTGAAACAGCAATTTTACACCACTTTGTGGGTTTATTTAAATAATTCCTATGACTTTGTTCTCCTTATATTAGGGAAAGTGTAGTACATATTGCAGAAGTTGAAAATGCTTCATAAAATAAAATGCACTTTAAGATCGAGTTTTGTTTCTGTAAGAGTATTCTGTAGCTAAGTATTCTGCACAAATACTTTTCTCAGCTTTACTTTCTATGATAGAATAATTTTATTTTTATCCTTTTTTAGCTTGTGTATTTACATACAAAGACTTTAACACACTGATCAGTGAAGGTAGTATAATGTTTTGTAGGATTTTCACAGTGGATGGAATTTCTCTTGCATCTTGGTTTGAGAACTCATTTATTCCTTTGTCTGCAGTGTCATAAATAGACAGAATTTCATGCTTTGACATTTATTTTTTTCCAATAAAGGCAACTGTTCCGTTCATTAACTTCTTAAATATCTTTCCTGACTTTTTACCGAATATTTGCTGATGCTGGGGGTGAGTTTTGTCTATGACTAACAAAATAATTGGTTTGTGTTCTTCTTACAACATCCTAAAAAATATTTGTGGACTTACTCTGTCTAATCTGAGCCATCATTTACCAGTTGAAACATGTCTTATTTTTTCTATGTGATCAGACTGGTATTGGGAAGCTACAGGCATAGCATTATTGATGCAAGTATATTCTTTCAGGTTTTCTCATTTGTACATAATGCGTCGATTTTTTTCAGGGGTTGTGTAACAATAAATGAGCCCTTTTCCCCACTGTTCTTTTTGTTTCCATTTCCATCTTTACAGAGCCTGAATAAAAGCATAATGGATTTTTTTTTCAAATTAAAACAAACAAAAAAAACAACACCCCAAAAAAACCAAACAAAATGTAATCTTAGTTAAAAGACCTTACTTCATTGTGGGAATCTGAAAAGTAATGCAGTTCTTTACCTTAAGCTAGAAAAATTACCATAAGACTTGTAGTCTGCAAGTAACCCGTGTATGTACCTTTAAGAGGCCAGATGCACAGCTCTTGCACTGTCGAACTCCTATTTAAAATCTGTACTCCTACTTAAAATGTGTTCTTTTTCTCGCTATATTTCAGTTGCTAAGATCATTTCCAAATAGCAAAGGAGACGCAGAGTGTTCTTTAAGTTTGTAGTCAGAATGCGTTAAGCCTCTGCAGGTGCTTAGAAAGCAATGATCTAAAAATTGACGTACAGAAGCTTGACAAGTCACTGCCTGACATTTGGGTGCACGAAACATCTATGTACAGACTTCTAGCCTAACAGCAAATGCGAGGAGAAGACCGCTTCAGTTAGCCTGAGAGAAACTGAAGTGAGCCAGATTGCAACACCTAGGTCAGCATGGCAAAGAGCATAGCGCTGTAGTTACCATGACCCAGCTGATACGTAATAAATTGATTTGGGTCTCAACCCTGTACTACAGTTTTTCTTCCATCCAGAAGGACAGCAGTGGTGCCGAAGAATCGGAACAGTTTTGCTCCGCTGCTCTTGGATGAGCAGATGAACAGCTATCAAAGTGCACAAGCGTTTCTGTATCAGCAGTGGTAGTGAAGGTGTATTGGTGGCAGGGTGTATACTGTTTTGGTAAGCTGCATGTTCTGGATGCTGTGGGATGGAGTAAGTGCATCCAGTTTTAAGATGTAACCAGAAGCTGTCGTTTAAGGGTTCTGAACTGCTGTTCGGAAGCAGTTAAATGGTGGTGATAATCCTGGTATTCTGTCTATTCCTGACAGCAAAATAGTGCAAAACTGAGTTGTACAGCACTGTGTTGAAGCGTGGGCCTCCTGCTCTTAACTGCATTTTCTATGGAGCGATAAAGTATTTTGCAAGTACAAATACAAGAAAAATGTTAATTAGTTTTTCCTTTCTGTTTTTTTTAGGACTCCTCCAGGATGGTTTCAAGCAGGTATAAAAGGTATGAGATCTTTGTACACAACACATTTCTTTACATATGTAGTTCTGCCATAAATAAATCTGGTTAAATGGGTGTTTGTAGTAGAGTCCATCATACTGCTTGTGTAAATAGCCTGATTTTTGGGGTAAGGACCTGAAAGGTGCAGCAAACTTATCCAAATGCCTCTCTATAAATGCAGCTAGTATTTTCTAGGGTCTTTCTAGGGCAGAACATTTTCCCAAGCAAATGTCTAACTTGACTACACGTTACCTAGGATATAGAAGTTTCACAGTTAATTTATGAGCCACCATCTTCTGAAGTTTAATACAGGAAGGTAATTTTGTTCTCCACAATAATATTGAAAGAAATTTCTATATTTGTCATACTAATGTCTCCATTGTAAGGGATGCGGCCCGCATGTAGCATGTCCTGTTTGTTATTTGTTTGTCTTTGAGACAAGTGTTATCCTGGTCATTACTCAAGTTTTTCAATCAGAAAAATATTTCAGAAGCTCTTGATGCACCTGACCAGTGTGTGAAATTTTTGCCCATGTGGAATTAATATTGGGACAGCTATCACAATTATTAGGAAAATGTAATGGTAACATGGAGTTTAAAATACGTCAACTGAAGCAAGGCATTTTTGTAAATATATTTTTATTTCATACATGCATGTATTCTTTTTTAGATAACCTTTACTCAGGTAAAATGTGTAGGTGGTTAATTCATCTGTGTACATATATACTGGCTGTAGAAGTAAGTGCTAAGAGCACTTAGGTTTATCTAGTTGTCACTGGTGTATTTTCTACCCCTCAGACTTGTTCGCCTATAGAATCTTAGAATGTTTTGGGTTGGAAAGGACCTTCAAAGGCCATCTAGTCCAACCCCCCTGCCATGAGCAGGGATATTTTCAACTAGATCAGGTCGCTCAGAGCCCCGTCCAACCTGACCTTGAGTGTTTCCAGGGATGGGGCATCTACCACCTTCTGGGCAACCTGTGCGAGGGTTTCACCACCTTTATTGTGAAAAATAATAATTTATCCTGTTATGCTTTAGATTTTTTAGCGTGTTGCTGTCTTTTATATTTATATTCCTGGGTTCTCATAAACCTAGTTGAGTTATGCTTTTTATTGCTGTAGGAGTTTTTTTAATCACTTTGTCATTGCAGAATGGGTGGACTTATTGTTACAACTTTAATAACCATGCAGTTTCATTATTAATTTCTTATTAATCAAACACATTTTAGTTCAGTCTCCACTTCCCCTTCAGTCCCCATGCAGAATTTCATTGCTCTTTGTATCTCCGAATACTTAGTGGTGTGTGTCACAGTGCTTTGTGGCTTTTCATAAACCTTATCTTTACTCTGTCACATGCTGTATACATTCACTAGCAAAAACTTGGTTGTGGGGGGTGGTAGTAAATAGAAGTTTGCACAATCACATTCATAGCTTATTTGAAAATAAGCTAGCTATTCTGATTAGCATTGCAAAAATAGGATACTCCACAGCTAGAAAATGCTAAAGTAAGACTTTTTTGTGCAGTCTTCATTCAGTCAGCTTTAGTTATGTCCAGGATGTACATTCTTTGTTTGTCAACTTTCCCCCTCAGTCCTGGCATCACATTCAAGAGGAATCTGACTTGCTATGAGCTGCTGTTCAGTATTTTGCTATGTATGTTGCCATCTATCTTATTCGTTGCATAATCTTCAAACCTCATGCTGAAAACAAAGGATTCTTTTCCTGTGAGGTCAGCACAGTGCCCGGTGCTCACAAAGACTTAAGAGGGTTTTAATCTAGCTGTACCTCTATGAGGTATACAGTAGCTAATAATTTATAGATGGAGACTTGATGCTCACTGTGATTAGAGTTAACACTATCTGTTGATTCTCTTCTATATTTGAAAATTTCTATCCCCCTCCCAAGTAATTTTTAAGGTGAGAGTACTTGAACAATGTATGGCTCCCAGTGGCTTTGCTTTCTGGTGTGAACGCTAAAGGAAGGAGTCAGGACCAGTGTCCTCTTCTGTTCTGTCAGTGCTTGGCTTGTTTACCCCTTCCAACATCTGCGATAAGGGAACATCCTAGAGAAAACAGCATTCTCTGCAGTAATTCTCACTCTCTCTGTACATCTCACTTTTGTCCCAAATACAGCAGAAGTCCTTTGGACACCAAAAATGCCATTCTGTGATTACACCTTGTGAATGCCAAAAGGCTGAACTGAGACCATAAGCTGCTTGAAGGCTCAAATATGTTCAGCTTCATGTGCTTTTAACAGTTTTGTGTGTACTCCCTTAGATTTTCAAAGCAAACTGAGAGCAAAGCATGTTCTCACATAAGGACCACTTCGAGATCCCATTTGAAACTGTTACTTGTGCTGCTCTGATGACAGGTGGTCAGTACTTGGTGGGTAGGGAAAAGAGACCGTTAGTAAACTTCACAGGCATATGACAGCAAAAGTGAAAAGATAATGTTTACCTAAATTCTTGGGCTCTGTTACAGACTCCCCACTCCAGGAAGAACGCGCTATTTGTCAGAAATTTTCAGGTCTTTTTCCCCTATCTTTACTACTCCTGCTCCTTATCTTTTGCTTTCTCCCTCTTCTCCAGTTGTTCCTCATCAGAAGTGACATCTCCTAATTTCAGCATTTTTCTTCACTGGATTCCATTTCCTAGCCCAGTTATATGCCTTTCCCTCTCTCTTCCCTTTTCTCATATATCCTTATATTTAACCACAGAGGTCCTAGTCTTCTCTAATATTTTTCTGCCTTCTTTTTTTCCCCTGTTTTGTCTCCATCCTCTATCCTCTTCTGATATTTAGTCCTGGGTTACTGATACCATCCTGGTCTTCCGGTAGCATCCCTTTCCCTTCCCATATAGCTGTTTTCATGTCTGCATTGAGAAACCCAGGCTCAAGGAATTGCACAGATTTTATTACCTATTTAATCAGACACACTGGCTACTTTGCCTTACATGGATGCAGCAATGCATGGTTAAACATTTATATGACATTGCCGAGAAACCCGTTTTACTGAGTGCCCATTGACTGGAAGACATGTTTACAAATGAAGTCTACTGGCTGCTGTTGTGTTATTCTATTTCTGTTCTGGCTGACTTGGACAAACTGAGCCTGTCTCTTTATGCAGTAAAGTAAATAAAAGTTTGGGATGAGGATCTTAATCTATAACTGTAGTCTGTCTTCTGCATTTACTTTAGATATTTTCATACTTACACCCCAAGAGTTTGTGTAGGTATTCCTTTTTAGTTGCATGATTAACCGCATAAAATATTTTCAGAAGAAAATGATAGTTCTGTTGTGTTCTGGAGTGGTACTGTAAGATTTATTAACAGCATGACCAGAATTTTTGAGGTCATGCTGACATGGAGGCCACAGGACATCTTCATGGGCTTACTTGGGAGTTGTGACCAGCCAGCTGTCCTGACTGTGAGCTTCCTGGGCTCAAAATGTGTAGGTATCCTTCAGTGGTAATAGCCCATATCAACTTCCTCATCTTTCATTTCTCCCTAAGCTTCTTTTCATGTAATAGACCTCATCTTGGCCATTCCAAACTTCTGTTACTGTTAACTGGGCCTACCAGTTCTTGTACTGCTCTGCGAGTGGTTGTTTTAGAGGAACAAGCACATTGCCATTACCAAGAATGGTTTTCTGATTCAAGTCTGATGCTGTCAGCATAGTTGGTGTCATCACTGATTTCTCAAAGAAGGGAATGACAAAATGTATTCTGCTTATTGAAATATTTGAGTGAAATCTACATGTAAACATGAATTCTGTTTCTCTTGCATTCTGTGAACTAAAAAGTTTGTTTGCAAGTAACAGTAAAGCAAAATATGTATGTGGACATAGGAATATTTTTATAAGCACAGAAAAACTGTTTTAGCAGCTTATTTTTAAGACTGTCTACTAGCTTTTGAACCAATTTAACTTCTTTTTTAGAGATGTCTTAAATTGAAAAGAAAATCTTGCAAATTGGGATTTAAAATAACTCAGAAGATTTTTGCATGGTTCATGGGCCAGACCGATCAGGCTGGATCACTTTTACAGAGACAGATTAAAATCTCTGAGTGGTTCAGGAGTGTGTTCCTCTTTCAGGTTCGTTTATTAGTGGATATTAATACAGTGTGGCTTTACGGCTTCTAGACAAAATGTCAGGGTTTTTTCCCCGCCTCTTTTAGAATAATACAGCTCCCTAACGTGGAACCCAACAGACAGAGACCTTTACCCACTAGTTCTAAAAGACCATGTTGTACTTGAGTTTAACATTCATGCAAGAGTTGAAAAATAAGTGAGGAAGAAGAGATCACAAGAAGAGAAGCAACTCGTGCTTCAGAGCACTCATTGGAAGTGCTGAGAAGCAAATGTTACAGACCTGCTGAAATTCTCATGCTCAGTGTTTTTGGATTACTACAAAGTTTAAACTATTAACAATTTACATTCCATCATTCTAACCTTGATCTCACCAATTAAAAAAAAATACAGCTGTAAAATACTATTTCATAACACTATGCCTAGACTTGCCTGTGTTTGGCAGTTTTGCAGCAAGGGTTGGCTGTTGAAGCACTGTCTCATCTAACTTGTTACATGAGGACCACTACTGTGCAGATAGAAAGACTTAAAATGGACAGGGGTCACTCAAGGTGCTTCTCTTGACTTTTGTATCCCCTTTTCAGCCAATGCTGATGTTACGGGAAGACAGAAACACTTAGGGTTTTCTGCAGAAGTTTTTGATGGTTTAAGTTGAGCCAGATGCAGTTCTTCACTGTCCCTTGTGTCACCGCTCATGCAGCTGGACAGGGTGATGCTTCAGGGAGCCACTGTGGCTGAAAGTCAATGGCTTCCTTTGCTGGGCTGCTGGATTGCTGCATCAGCTCCCTGAATGGTTTCCTACTTGGTCACCTGAAGGCCAGAGCCAGGAAAAGTGGAGGATGCTAGGAACGCGCAGCTGTAGAAGAGACAAGACTGCCTTTCCTTAGCTCACCTGTGAAAGCCATGGAGTTGGCTTAAGCAGTCTGAAGTAACAGAAGGTTACTTCAAGGTGGCCTATTTAGAAATACCATCTTTTGCTCATTCTTTTAAAGAAGCTGTTGGCAACTGGATTTCAGTGATGTAATTAACTGGGAGTTTCCAAATCAAGTACAGTTACAAGGTTCTGGCAATAAATATAAGTGTGTGGTAGTTGAAATCAATGAAGTCTAGTTTTGACTGGGTGATTTTAATAGGATGAAATACCAATTCGACAGTGCTGCAGGAAAACATTGAAAGAACCAAAGAGAAGAGGCACTGGAAGGAGCAAGATTCATTCCACCTTTCTGTAATACTGCTGTTAAACCTGCCCTGATGTGAATCACTGATTTTTATTTCATATTAAAGGAAATCACTAGAACATCATTCCAAAACAAAACTTCCTTCGGTGTAAGAGTAGTCAAACTGTGATGCAGGTTGATTTTGCTGTATGATTTTTATTTAAATGCAGCCAGAAAACACTTTCAAAAGCAAGTTGTCTTAAGTTGCAAGAGCGTTTTTTGTTTTCGGCATTCTAGTAAAGGAATAAATGTTTAAAATGAGGTTTTGGTAGTGGCTAATTGAAAGTAAGCTAGTGGAACAGCCAGTTGAGTTTTGTAAAACTTATTGTCAAATATGCCCTTTTGAAGCAGTAGTGAGGGATGTTTCTATCCAGATGCATTCTCATTTGCTGCTCTCCCGGTGGGCACTCTAATCCACTGTATCTATGGCTACAAATACAATCTCAGATACTCTTCGCGAAAAATAATTTAAAAAATAGTGTTTCCTGCAGCCATAGCCTGTGGCTAGATGTTTCAGCTGCAAGTGTTGAAACAGTCATATGCATAAGTTACTTGAATGCTAATGTGGGATGCGTTTTGAACTTCCTTCTTCACCAGTGACTCTAAATTTTTTCAACTTGCAGACCCTTACCATTTTTCATCTGGTGCTGATGACTGATTTTACCCAATGTACATCTACTGACCGTAGGCTTTCTTTTCTTTCATACCTTTTGTGGGAAACCCATCAACTTCCAAGTTCCAAGTATTTGTAAACCTTTATTCAGTTAGGAAGTGGAGGAAGCTAGTTTGAGACTGCAGCTGAAACCTTAATAGGTTCTGCTGTCATGTGTATGCACTCCATCCCCACCCCAAAAAAAGAAGGCATACAGGCAATTTGTTTTCTTAGTATTATACAAAGCTCTTCACTTTGGATGATTTTTTAATAATAAAATATTTTACTTTTAATATTTATTAATTTATTTAATATATTTAAATATAAAATATACATGTTTATTTCCATAGAGATGTTTTTGTTGATAGGTATTTCCTCTTAGTAAAGCATAGATACCAAGTTCAGTGCTATTGTTATTCTAGATAAGTTTTCTTTCTTGTTTAACGCTCACAAACTGACATTGTATTTGAAGACTAAAATTCCGTTCTTTGTGAAAGGTATGTCTACTATGTCTTGCATGGTACCGTTTTTGCTGTTGCTGTGTACTGGACATTGGTTATAACAGCCAAAATAATGAACTTTGTATCTGTCACATTCCTTGTGTTGGGTTACATACTAATGCCTCTGTAAATGTTTTTTTAAATCCCATTTCCTTCATGATATGTCCTTTGTACTTGCTGATACTGAAGAGGACTGTGTTCAAGTAGAGTCTGGCCCACAGTGGAATAGGTGAGGTTTTTGAGTGTGAATACAGGGAAAATACAGCAAGTGTCTTAATTTTCAGTATTAATGAAACCCTTCCTATCTAGGTATTCTTTCTTCTAGCTTTCCTGTAGGAGCATCTGCCAATATTGCTCGCTGGAGCTGAATTGAGATACTCTAGTATACTAGCAAAAGGGTTCATTTTTGAGTGAAGAAGGATTGAGCCTTTTTTATATGGTCTATCCTTGAGACGTTAACAGCACAAAACAAAAACATCTCTTAGAAAGCTAAATTATCTAGAATTTATAGAGTTAAGCTAAAATATGTCTCTTATGTTGTGTTGCAACATGCATATCCGGTCCTAGAAATGTTTTTTAAAAAAATCTTCTAGATGAAGAATAAACAGTGCTAAATATGGTAATAACATTAAGCTACAAAATTCCTTACAATTGTGTCAGTGTGCCTTGGAAACTTCACACATACTGGAGCAAAACAATATTTATATCCATGAAAAGACATCGTTTTGCCAGGTACTCCTGCTTTTGATTTGCACTGTATCCATCTAGATGTGCACATTGTCAGTAGGGGTTTTCTAGAGTTATGAAATGCAAAACTGTTAAATGAACACATTAATCACATACTCTTCTATGTTTTAAAGGAAATGTAGGGATACTCATAGAGCTTTTCATTCTTTTCTTAAGTGCTCTAGAAGACAGTTGTGCACATATTTCAGCTGTGTGGTTTCACAGAATCACATGGTGGTTGACATTGGAAGGAACCTCTGGAGGGTATCCAACCCCCTCTGCTCAAGCAGGGCCACCTAGAGCCGGTTGCCTAGGACCATGTCCAGATGGCTTTTGAGCATCTCCATTCGAGTTCTCCTGGTGAAGACTGAACAAGGCTTGGTTTTGGTTTTGGTTTTGGTTGGTTTGTTTTTTGGTTGATTGTTTTGGGGTTTTTTGCCTTTCACTGTTTAGCTGTATATTTTCAAAGTCTAAGTAGTGTAGTTTTGGTGGATTGAGGAGGGAAAGATCTGTATCTTCCTTCTTGCTCCCAGGGCACTCTGTTCTGCTGCTTTAAATTATTCATTAAATTCTACATTGAAGGTAAATAACATTGCTATTAGGAAGAAAATAGCTACGGGAAGAACACTGTTAAATTTGTGACTTTGAAAATGCTTGACTTCTCATATATATTTTAAAATTAGCACTGGTTTTGTACATAGCAATCATAATGTGGAACCCATAAGCTTTTTTAAATCTAGCTTATGTACATTTGCAATGCTTATCTGTTAAGATTCCATGGCAGTGGTTTTGTAAGGAATCTTAATCACATGATCTAAAACAAAAAATTTACCACCAGGTAACCTACCAACTGAGCTATGACAAACTGCTGTGTATCCAAGTTCTGAAGTAAAATATTTGGAAATGGCATAAAATATTTTGGGCTGCATGACTTTCTCACTTTGGTTTGCTTTCCAGTTCCTTACAGGCTATATCCATGGTTCCTGAAAAGTCAGTTGACATGTGTAAGCTTCTTACGTTTTGGACATGTACTTGTTTTTCATCCTTTATGTTTTCATCTACTTAAAAAGATGCTTGGTTTAAACTCCATAGTGGTACTTTACTCTTTAAAATAAAGTTGTTTAGCTTGGTTTTTAATGTGCGCAGTTCATAAAACTTTAAAAGCTTTACAAATAAGATTAGATAAGTATGTGTTTAAGGTTTATTACCTTTGTGATGAGAGCTGCATCAAGCAAGTATTCGACTCCCCGAGGCAGTGAATTTAGTGAGTTCTCAGCAACACAAGAGCTGTGAAATAAGTCCTTTGCAGTTTATTAGACTCACCTATTGAGCGCTTTGGAGAGCACTTCCTGTTACTTCTATCATTTCCATTTTGTTAAATGTGTAAATAGGTGTCTACTTTGCTCTTTGCCTTTGTAGCACAGCTAATGCACCAGAAGATGATGCTCCAAATAGATATTCCCGAACAGACAGGACAGCTTACAGCAGATACAGCAGGGATGCAAACTCTTCTGGCAGTTCTGTACCAAGTAACACTTTGGAAAAGAGGATTGAGGAACTTGAAAGGGTAAGTACCAACTAACATCTGCATGGCATACGTCTGAAATAAAGCACCTTTGAAACTCCATGGGGAGATTTACAAGTAAAATACATAGAAATGATGCTAAATGCTTGAAGTACAGATAGTTATGTCTATAAAAATGTATAAAGAGTCAGGCGGAGTAGAATGTGAACTTTCTAATCACAGACATTTAGTTTTCATTAGATATATAAGTGAGAGAGAGTTGAGGTAAACATAATACACTTAGAGAACCAGCAGTGCTCTGCGTATTTCTCATACACACCTCGTGACACACCAGCACAGGGCAAATAACTTGTGGGAAGGAGATCTCACTGGCTGTTCAGAAAATTCGTAAGGCTGTTTTTGATCTAATTCTTGTTCTGAGTTTTTTAATGTACTGAAATATTATAAAATTTAATAGCTATCCAGTTGTTTGTTAAAGTTTTAAATATTTAAAATATGTATTTAAAACAAAGTTTTCATGATTTCAGACATTCTTCATACAAACAAGTCTGGGAAAATGTAATAATGTTAAAGTTGAGTTTTTCACCTAAAACAGTATTTTGCTAAATAATATCGTCTGTTCAATCTATTACTGGCTTCTCTGTCTTCCGCTGAAGTGGATTTTTGTGGGTAACCAATATTCTTGAATTCGTATGGATGAAAGTTACTAAGTAAACACAATTTGAATACATATTTTTGCAAAGGGTGAAAATAAAGCATATGTCGTAGAAATGAATTTTTTTTTTTTTTTTTTTTTAAGACTTGGGGAAGCCTGATTTGAGTGAAATATGCCATAATGCTCTCTTCCAAATCAGCTTCCTTCTGAAATAATTTACCTACCAGTAACACAGAAAATAGAGGAAGACTTAAGGGCTTTCTTTCAGTATCGTGAACCCTGATTCACTGAATTCCTAATGGACACTTTCATGTTTTCTCACATTTCTCACATGTAGGCCCACAGATCTAACAGTGCTTCATTCCTTGTTAATGGTAGTATTAAAAAAAAAAGACCAACAAAGAAAAAGGGAGGAAAAAAAAAAGTAGTAACCCTCCCAATATCAACATATTTGGAAGCTGATACTTTACATTTACTTCTGGTTTGGGCCCTTATCCAATTTTGGGTTCATACTTAAATGTTAATTAAAACATTATCTCTGGAATCAGAGGTATCACACAGGTTTGCTGTCTGTAAAATGTTTTCTTAGACATGATTCTTTAGCTCCTTGAAATGTAAGGGCTTTAAGATGTGGCTTTGTCTTGCTTAAGAAAAGGAATTATCGGTAAGGGGTGGTTCTTCGTTTTAAACGGTAATAACTGAAAACTCTCTCTTAAAACCAAAAATTACTTTTCAAACTTCATTGCATATTCTTGTTTTAGGAACTTGCAAAGGAGAGACAGGAGAATGTGAGATTAATGAAGATGACACAGGACAAAGAGGAACTAATTGGAAAGCTGAAGGAAGAAATTGATTTATTAAACAGAGTAAGCACATACTTTCTTATATGGTGCTATGTAAAGAAGGGATATAAGTTTCTGCATTCTCTGTGCTTTAAGGGCAGACTGGAACTCTTTCATAGAGTGGATTAGTGACCTCATCTTGCACTTCCTGGCTGAGGTGCCGAGCCTGCATGTACTAGGGAAATATGCCTCTACCAGTCCAGTGCAGACATGCCCATAAAAATTCAGAAGGAAATTTCAGAACTGGCTTTGGTCAATCCAGCAGTGAAGGGAGGCAATAATTCTGTGTGCATAGAGCCAAACTTCCATTTTGCACTATTCATTTATAACAAAGGAGGACTGCATTTACCAGTTTGCAAACTAATCTAGAGAATAATCTCAACTCTAGATGAGATAGATTCTAGATAGAATGAGAAACAATTCTGAAACAGATCTCATTTACTTCTTTATAAGAGAAAGTTGGAAGTTAATATATAGGATTAATGAAGTATTGTCTGTTTTGGAGGGATTTCTATTTTAATTGAGGAATTGGTCTTTATGCCGTTCTTCCATTCTGCAAAGAATCTGTCACATCTAAGCTGATGACCTTATTATAGTCAAGGCAAGTGTTCATTTCTTCTACATAATGGATGGCAAAGCTACTTAATACTGCTGGTCACATCTGACTTCTGACTTAGAGGTCAGAAAGAACAAATCAAAAGAACCTAAATCACTGAAAGCTTGCGTTTTAGGACCATGACTGTTTGCAAGGTTTGCTGTTGCAGAAAAAATGTTATTTTTTTCTGCTATATTTGAAGTATGATGTCCTAAATTAAATCCATTAAGTGCCTGACTAGAGACCATCTTTGAACATTTGTGATAAAGTCAAGCAGTGCCTGTGCCTTCCTTGTGTTAAGTATGATGGCAATTCCTGCTTGTTGTGTGGAAAGAAAACACAAACCAGAATACAGTCCTGTCAAAAACCTCTTTATCACACAATGACTAAAACTGTGCCTTTCCATGAGATCTACAAAGCCATCTGATTGGTGCTCCCTAGGTAGCTTCTCTTAAACGCAGATGAGAATTTTTTTTTCTTTTTTCTCCATCAGGTCAGCACTTACCATAGCTATAACATTATCTGTTAGCTTAATTGCAGTGCAATTTATTTATGTTTGCATCCCTTGGGCTTTTCTTAGCGATGAAATAGCTGCCTTTTGACTTCATGTGCAGCATAAAAATTTGTCTTCTTACAAAAGTTTGAACACATGCTTCCATTAAAACAGATATAGCTTTAGTTTCTTTTTTAATAGCTCTTGGATTTATGATTGCTTCTATATTGGCTATCCATGTGGATTTAGAAAGAGGAAGGCTTAGAATATTAAGAAAATCTATAGAAATACTGCATTATTCCCATGATAGAAGGTTACTGAAGTTAATAGGGCAGTTATATTTGCCTAAGGTTTATTGTAGCTGACATCATGAAAGCCAATAGTTGGACATCCATCTGTTCTTCATGGAAAGTTACTCTGTAGACCTGGCACCAGGTTTGGATGCTTTGCATGGAAGCACAGTTGTGATGTTCAGCCTTCTACTTGGATAAAAGGATGTCCTGAGGACTAAACTTTACTTAGCCAGCTTATGCAGAGATCTTTTTAAAAAGTTTTGCTGGTAGGCAATCTAAATAGGGGTTAATATATTAATCTGTCAGTGGATAGTATTTCTCTATCTTTTCTATTCGTTAAAATCTGCAGTTATTGCATGTTAAGTTGCACAGATATGGAAAGAATTTCATGTCAAAGAGCCTAAATAACTTAAAATGTCATTTTATTGCATAGTTTTCTGACTGCTCAGTCCTCATACTTAAAGAAATGCTCTTTCTAGAAGTTTCAGTTCATAATCATGGTTGCATTCTTGATTGGCAAAGATCTTGTGTTACGCTTGAAAAACTGTTTTTCCAAGAATTCTGAAAATTTCCTGGCAGACTTTTTCTCATTTTAAATAAATATATTTATTTAATGTAACAATATAATTTTACTGGGATTAGTCAGTACATCACAAAGATACTTAAAAAATACAAGGTGCATTTATATTGAGAAACAGAAAAGTCTTTCTGCTGTAAATGGCATTCTTTCGCTCCAGTATATTAGCCACTAAAAGTATGTCTGCCACATTTATTTTGTAAGGAAGGGGTAATTGCTTCATAAAAACCTCAAATGTCTGAAGGGAAAGGCATCTCAAGACATTCAAATATTTGTACGCTAAGTTCAACTGTCGACTAGTTTACACTTAGTCATCTCTGACCTCACTAAGATGTCATTGTAGTTAAATGTGTGTTTGGAGAGAGTCTGTCAGTGAGGATTTACAATCTAATTACTGTCAGTTGTGTAGTTACCGGTTCTTTGGTGTGTGAAGTCCAAACTTTCCTGCTGTTGCATCTTTTTTTGCTAATAAGCATAAACTAGTGTTGAAATTTTAAATTTTGAATTTTGAATAAGAAACTGTAAATTTCAGAGTGGCAAACACCACCTGCATCTCTTGGTCCATGGTTTCTACAGACATTTAAACCACAATAGTTATTTTTCCTATTTTCGTATTTGATAAACTCTTACTTGTAGTAATCTTTGGAATGTTATTTTTACAACACAAACATTTCACAAACTTCTAGTATTTTATTTTGCATAATTTACAGGTATTTTAAACAGAAGGTTTTTAGGTAAGGTTTAGTTGAGGCGTGTGATGGCTAGGTTAACAACAAGTTCAAACACAGTATTATGTACACTGAACTAAAAAATTACCATTTTATTGAAAAAGTGTTGTCCCTTCCATCTGATTATTGATCTGAACTGCACAAGAGAGAAAGCAAAGTGTTTTTCTTACAATTACACAGTAAACTGTATTTATAGTAGCTATCCATCAAAACTTCCCGTGTTTAGATGTTTAAGTCACTTGTAGCTGTTATGTTGGAGTGGTCAAACGCTTTTCCTGGAAGGCGTTCATCCTGTGATGCAGCATTACGTCTGTGAGGCAAAGAGGAATTTCTGCTAGTGATTTCTTGATCCCACATTACAAAAGCAATAAAGTAATTGCAAAGGTATTGCGGTATGGATTTTGGCTTGGCAAACTGAAGAGGCTTTTAAAAATCATTATACTGATTAAACACAACATCTCTAGCATGCATATCTGGAATGACCCCACCAAAAAGAAATAAGAAAATAGGGTCGGTATGTCAAACACCACATAACAACTTGAAAGAACATGAAAGAAAATCTTTTCCCTACTACTGTTTTATGGCAACAGTAGGGTTTTGAAGACTTCAACCATAAGATATCTAAGATCTCTAATGAGAATTCTGGTTCTTCCTCCTTTGCCTGCATTTCATTTTCTTCCTTAAGGTGCTGTCCTTGAGGTTAGTTTCTTCATTTTTTCCTTCTCATTCTGTTTCTTCCATGGGGTTTTTTTGTACAGTAAAACTATTTTTACTGAAGTAATGCTTACATATTAAACAGCAAATTTCACTGGTTTTCACTTTAAAGGCTTGAAAAGAGTTGGTAGGAAGTGAAGAAGTGAAATGGCAACTGAGTAAATAGGGTAATTGGTGGAAGAGGGATGAACATTTGGGGTGGGAGCAATCTATTTTAAGCACCCGTTAGCACTATATATGCTGTCTGTTCTTTCAGTAGCAGTTTAGACAAGTTACAAAATGCCTTTTAATTCTTTTCATAGAAAATGGAAAAAAAAAAGAACAGGAAGTACTTTTTCTGAAAATTTTGATACTTAATATAAAACACAACGCAGGTCTTTTTGCAGTAATAACCAGGGATGTGTATATGTGAGTGGGACAGTTGCAGACAAGCACAGTTTAGGGAGCAGAGGCAATAGCTGACTAATACATTCTGTATATGCCAATAAAATAATCACACCCATCCTGTTTTAGTTTCTTG